ACAGTTAGATTCCAAATACACAGCAAGCCTCCAGACAAGCCTTCTGATGGTTTATAAATCCAGTCAAAATCATCGGACCCCCATAACCTTCTGCAAGTTCTTCTATCTACCACCTCCATTTTTGACTCTTGAATAGCTAAGAAATCTACTCCCTCTTTTTTTACTAATTCTTACTTTCCTTTTTTTTCCAACCCTCCTAGCCCTCTAATATTAAAAGATAGCAAGATCATTTAAATCTCTGCTTACCTTCTTAGCGTCTACTGCCACTCTCTTCCCCATATCTTCTTTGCCTTATCTATCTCTGCCCTCCATTTCTTCTATTTTCTGCAGGATCTCCTCTTCGTTTTCTGTTGTGGCGCCTAGTCTTTTTGCTAGATCCCATATGTCTTTTGCCAACTAATTTTGCAACTGCTTCCTCAAAGCTCGGTTGCGATTTTCGATCCCACTGTCACCAACCGATTCACCCACAACCTCTCCACCTGGGCTCACCATGAAATTCGGCTCCCCCTGTCCCTTCTCTACTTTCATCTTTTGCCTTTCACGCCGTTTCCCACTCTGGATTCCTTCCCCTGTTTTTCTGGCCTTGAGGTAAACCGAACTGCACAGGCGAATCTTCTTCTTTCTTTGTATGACACCCTCCTTACTTCTTTGCATGCAGATGTGCACCTGTTCACTTGCACTTGCGCGATCCTGCCCGCTGGGTTCTCCTTTATCTTCTTGCTGCTGTTCATCTTCGCTGCACGGAAGGGCAGCTTTCCTTTCTCTCGAATTCTCCATTTCAATGTCTGATTTTGACTTTGCATACCCTTCATTAATACCCAACCCCACACTTGAAGAATCCACAAAGCATGGACTTCCCTTTTTTGTGTTGGGCTTCCTATAAAGGCCTAACTTAGGTCCCTTTTGAAAGCCCAGCCTCTTTCTTCCAGCTTTGGCCGGCTACCCGACCTTATCTCTAGTTCCCGCCTGCTGTGTCCCCTTTTCTTCGCTTAAACTGATTTTCCCATTGTTTAAAATTTGAATCTGCTCCAGGCTGTCCGCCACCTTCTCAACGGTCCCCTCCTCCTGCTACAGACCAATTCTAAGATCCGAATCGTACGACTCCCCTTTACTGTATGCCACATCATCGTCATCTTCCTCATTCTCGGCTGCACCGTCCTTCCCCTGTTCTTCCTCCCCTGCACCTTTACTAGCACTGTCCTCCTTCTCACTATCCATCGACCATGTTTCTTGTTCCTCTGAGTCGCTACTAAAGTGGGGGATGAAGTCCTGTTTCAAAGAGAAGAAACTATTGGTGAATTCCTCCTCTGTGAACTTGAGCTTGTAAACGGACCCGTCGATTTTGATTTGTCTCATCACTGAAATGGAGTTCATAACTGGAGTCGAAATTAAAAATCTAGCTATGTCAAACCTCCTCCTTTGGCTTGTGCTATCATCAAGACAAATGAACTTGCCCCATGAGCTCCCCATCGAAGCAAAGAATTTAGGCCCCCAGACGTTTAACGGAATGCCTTGACATTTGATCCAAACGAATCTTTCTTCCGCTACCAGATCTGGGGTCCAAGGGCACACCTTCTCGAACCATTGGCCCAGCCACTCCGATG